TCTTTTTGCAGTCCAAGCTGCTACATTTTCGTCAAGCAGCTAAGCTTAGCTATTTTTTTAATATACTTTTAGCTAACTAGTCGTGCCCAATCACTTACATGTGAGTGGTGGAATATTCATTATGATACAGAGCAGTTTGTCATGCGGCTGCAATCTACGAGTTCTACCGATTTAGCTTTCATCTCCGAGCAAGAGGTATGTAGATCCTAACGGATTGTTCTCTCACACCATTCTTTACTCTGTTGCTTTTTCTCTCTATTTTTTTATCCTTGGCCTATAAGACAAGGTCATTGACCTTATCGCTTAATTGAATCTGCTATTATTGTCTATAAATATAACGTTAAATGTTGCCACCAAAATTATTACGATCTTATTGTGGCAGTAACGCAAATTTATTCTATTAATTTTATGTTAAAATCAAGCCCCTCTTTACAATGCCTACTATATTCTACTGTTCGGGTGACTTTCATTTTGTATAAAAATGTATGCTGGAGAGCTTAGAAAGTCGATCTCACCAGAAGACGATGGCTGATTCTCGTTGTATTACAGCCGTTGGACTGTAATACGACGTTCATGTTGACACAGTCCACGAGACATCCTTCTTTTTGAGTGGAAATGTACTTCGTGTCACTTAACGAATATCATCAGAGATGGGACTCATTCTTGAAAAAGTCTGACATTAACACTAAATCAGGAATGCTGATAGACTATATCTTACCTCTTAAACATGCTCATTACTAAAAGCAAAAATGTATATACATATATAGATATACAATGATTCTGCTAATTTAGTTTCATATTGTCCAGGGTTCTTTTACTTGAGTGTGGGTATATGCATGTTTGTGTATTTATATTAACGCCTATACGCAATGCCGGTGCTAAATCAAAAATCTTAAAATAGTCTCTTGTAAAGCTCTGATCATCAAGGCTTAATGACCCATACGAAATGAAATTCCCTCCACCAATATTATCCTAGGAGATTGATCGAAGCCCATTTACCCTTTGTATCTATAATATATTCTATTCTAGTCAAACCTAGAATTCTTAAAATAGGCACAGAGATTCAGCTTACCAGGTCAGCCAATTTCGGAGTGGTCAATCCCAAGAGTCACTTAGTTTGGGTAGGGTCATCTATCCTAACTCATTATGTCACTTGTCTAAGGGAATACTTAGAGACTGACTTAAGCCAGTATCAATCATTAGCTTGTCCCTCACCCACATTATCTTTCTATTGGTGCTCTTCCCTTTTCCCTCACCGGTATGAAATTAAGCCTTTGAATTATTTATATCATATATTGTCTAACTACTACTTTCATCACATCTAAAAATGCACTCAGTTTACAGCATGACACTGGAACTTATTAGATATAATGTAGCAGAGGACGCTGAACAAGGTTCTTATTCTAAAGTCAATCTGACAACTTAAACAAATTTCGAAAACGAGAACATTCAAATTTCATACGGTCGAGGGAGACTGAGACAAAAGTAATGGCTATATATATATATATATGCTTAATAATATTTGCCTTTTATTTTCTTTTACAATTTGCAGACGAATTTTACAATGATTTGTCATTTAGATACAACGACTCAGGTTGGCACAACTTAATGCTTTTATTTCTACTTATCATATCAGGTAGATGTCCAGCTGCATTCACAGACCGTCGAGGCCGGACTCATTTGGGCCCGCCTACAGTCACGCCTCGGTCATCTCGGTTTCCTTCGTAATGCCCATCTCTCTGCAGTGTCAGCAGGTCGAGCTGCTTACTCTGGGTCTGGTTGTGAAACCAGTAAAAGTGATGCCTCACCACTAGAATGTCCTACATGCCTTCTAGTACACTCACCCGCCCGTCCCACATTTGTATTGCTGCCCGGATGCTGGCATAGCCTCTGTCTGGTCTGCTACAACAGGATAAATGGTGCAGGTAGCAAAACACTAGCGCGGAGATGCCCAGTTTGCAGGACTCCATTCACAGAGACCCCAGGCGACCAGGTTGCTTATTTTGGATTTATTGACAATGAATACTAATAAATGATCCTGTCACTTCTACACCTCACATTAATCTTTTCTAACACGCCACTTGCACAATAGCATTTAATCATGATGCTGAGCTCTGTTATGATGTCAATTCTAGTTACTTTATTTTCATATTAACACATTTTAGAGAAAAAACTTTTCTTGCTAGCCATTTTCTTAGTATTATGGCTTTTATGATACATAAGGTTATATTTTTAATGGTAGATTTTTATCACATTTAGGGGTATATTTTGTGAAGTCCTAGCTTTTCCTTTCATTATAAATAATAATAAGTTTTAAAAAAAGATTCCTTTTGACATTGTCTTTATCTCCATATCTGACCCTTTTTATTTTATTTTTTTGGTCAAGTTTGGTTGCATGTCAAACCTAGCTAGTTCGCGAGCTTTTCGTAGGCGTCCCATCACCCTGGTTCATTTCTCTCAGGAGTCTGGGCCACCTACTGTTACCCAAACTTCCCCAGGTGTCTCCTCCAGGTCCGTTATCTCCTCATCTGACTCTGTGAATCAATGGGCAGAGCAGCCTGGCAGGTCGGAAGAAATTAGCCGATCCGACTCTAACCTGGTTCCTGAGACCAACGCATCGGATGCGAAGCTTGATGAGGCAGAAGAGAAGACCTT